CATGTCTTTTTTATTTATTTTTTTATTTTCCATGTCTTTTATTGGCTGAGATTAATATGTCCGGATCGGCCAACCTTTTTAAACCAAGCTGCAGTTTCCTTTGATAGAGGCCTGAGTGAAACTGACATAGGGCACTGATTCCCATGCAATTTCCTGAATTCGAGTTCTCATGGAACTAAGATTTTTCAGTCTAACGACCTTTTAGGCTACCTTCATCTCTGGCTGAACTTCCTCCTGCTGTTTCAGGTCGCTGAGCTGATTTCCCCGGCCATTTTCCTTGCATGGTGGAGAGGCATCCACTCTGCTCTGTGTTTCAAGGTTCCCAGCAAGCCTGGCCCTGCCTTGCTTGGTCACCTGGGCTCCACGCTTCCTCCACCTCCTTGGGCAGTAAATACTCTAGATTTGTCTGAGTCTAGGGTCTGACTCCATTTGAGTCAGAGTCAGTTTTGCTAACTGTGAAACAGGAATAAAAACACCTACTGATAGAATCTTGAGAATGGGATGAGAAAATGGCTGCTGAGTACCCCCCCACCCCCCCACCCCAGGTCCCAGCACACAGAAGGTGGTGGTCTTGATTCTAAGTGGCCTTTCCCATTTATTGTCACCTAGAAGATCAAGATATGGACACCAGCGTTTAATTTCGAAGAATGGAGAGAACCTAAATGTGCTGGCCTTGATTCAAAATTTGCTGCTTCCTGGCAATGGGATTTGAGGGAAGGGGCAGAGGGCAAAGGGTTTTCCCCATTTAACAGATTAATCTGCTAAATACAGAGACTAACCAATCTTTTTCCTGCTGGTGGACCTGTTGAAGAGATAAGAGGGATGTCAAAGCGCTTTGCAAATGGCACAGGCCGTAGTAAAGTCAAGAAGTCCTTGAAATCCAGCCCACCCTCTTGATGGCACACAAGAGGAACTGAGGCAGAGTGGCCTGGTACCCTATCAGGGTCTCTGCACTGTTGTAGCAAAACGAGGACCTGGCCAGGTCCATCGGGTTCCCAGTCCTGAGATGAGCCACAGCCCTCATGCAGTGCTGGCTCCAGCTCCTGGGTGTTCCCGGCCACGTTGGAGGGCACCTGTCACACTGCTGGGGTCCTTCAAGGCCAGTCCTCCAGGGAGGCCACCTGCGCAGACGAAGTCAGCAAGCTTTCACTATATTTTGGCTGTGCACCTCGCCGCAGCCTTAGTCTGGGCACTCTCTGTCCCCAGCTGAGTGTGGCTGTGGTTTGCTGCTGTCATGTTGTCAGAGGAGGGGGAAGGAGGAGGGATCATGGTCATGTTCATTTGTACAATCTTGCACTTGAACTGTCTGGTTTCTCCAACAGACGGTGTCTACAGGAAGAGCAGCAACTCCTTGTCCAACATTTACCCAACACTTAGTGAGCACAGAGAGGCCGTTTGCATTTTGGGTTGGTGCTCGAGCTCTGGAGCCACCTGCCTCCATGGAACCATGGCTCTGCCACTGCCTGGCTGTGTGCCCTCAGCCCACTCTGTGCCTGCACTTCCTCACCTGAAGGCAGGTGGATGAGAGTAACCAGCTCTCATCCAGACTTTTCTAGCTGAGGAAGCATACCTTACTTCATGCAAGAGGCAGTCACCTGTGCAGGTAGTTCAGACCCCCGGGAGCATCCTTTGGCCAGC